TGGCCAGGCTGGTCTCAAACTCCTGACCTCAGGTGATCTGCCCACCTCGGCCTCCCAAAGTGCTGGAATTACAGGTGTGAGCCACCGCGCCAGGCCTATTTCTGTCTATTTCTTGATGGCAGGTAGCGGGTATACATACTGTTGGTGACAGTGGTGCCTTCCAGCTTGGGGTCCAGTTTCTCAGAGCTTGGCATAAGGATGCTCGTATAGTTTACATCATCTCTTCTCAAAAAGGTTAGTCTTACCCAAGATGAGGGCGACAGCAAATCCCCATCCCCTGTTCCTAATCCTCATCCCATTTGCCATCTTCACTGTTATCCCTCATTCTCTGTCATGAGCAAAATGGCGGACAAGCCAAGCTATTTATGTCCTTTTCCTGTTAATGTCCCACCTTCAGCCAGTGACTCTCAGCCTCACACTCCAGTACCTCTGCCTCCGTCTCTCTGTTTCCCATGTACCAGTTATGGGGGGGCTGTGTTCCCACAGAACTGCATGGACTCGTCTTCCAGGACATGGGCTTTACAGTTTGTGAATACTCCATCTGGGACCCCAAGAAGCTATGCGTGGACCCCGACATACTCCTCAATGTGGTGGAGGTAGAGGGGCCCTGCTCAGAAACTCCTCCCCAGAGCTGACTTACAGCCTAATGTTCCTCTCCTCCCCACACCTCTTAAGTCATCCAAGACCTTTTCCAGGTTTGAATTTGCCTGGTCCTTCAATGGTAACTAACATGGAGGAGGACTTCACCCCCAAATGCCCTGGGGCCGCCACTCCTGGGTAAAGGTGAAGCCTGATGAGACTGTCTGTACTTGCAGCAGATCCCACATGGCTGTGTCCTTGTGATTGGGAACATTATCGACTGCAAGTTGACACCAACTGGGTGGGCAAAGTTGATGTCCATGATAAAGGTAAACCCAATCTCCCGCGCAGCCTTCCTGTCTTTGACTCTCTGCTCTCTCCTCCATCCGTCTCATTCTTTTTTTGTTCTCCTTTCTCCTACAGAGCAAGCAGATATTCCCATTTTTTGATATTCCCTGTCAAGGTTTATACACCGGTGACTTGGAAGAAGATACTAGAATCTTACAATACTTTGTGTCTCAAGGCTTTGAGTTCTTCTGCAGCCAGTCTCTGTCCAAGAATTTTGGCATTTATGGTATGGTACAGGCAGAAGAAGGGAGGGTCTATTGCTGAAGTGGGGCCGCGCTCACAGCAGTGATGTTTTTGATATCTCCTCCTTAGGTGGGAGCCGAGGACTCCAGGGAGAGCACTATAGAGGCAGAAGTGGGGAGCACTGAGCTAGAATTTTGTTCTGTTACTCAATCTAGCCACCCAACCCAACTTGACTTAGATCATTTCACCCCCTCAGGCCTCTGTTTCCTCAACTATAAGATGAGAGGGTGGGGCTGGCATGGTGGGTGACACTTGTAATCCCAGTTGACACTTCCCAGTCCCTCCTTTGGGAGGTCGAGGTTAGGTGATCTCTTGAAGCCAGGAATTCAAGACCAGCCTGGGCAACACACCGAGACCCTGTCTCTACAAACAATTAAAGAAATCAGTTGGGCATAGTGGTACACACTGGTAGTCCTAGCTACCCGGGGGGCTGAAGCAGGAGGACTGCTTAAGCCCAGGAGGTTGAAGTTGCAGTGAGCTATGATTCCACCATTGCACTCTAGCCTGGGTGACAGACAGAGAGATAGTCCCTTAAAAGAAAAAAAGGAAAGGAAAAAAACAGAAGAGTAGAACTTAGTGATTTTTCAATTTCCTTCCTCCTTTAAGACTCTGACTTATGGGTACTTTTGCTGGAAGGAGAGCCTCTGGCAACTTCCCGGAGCCTGAATACCACCGTGGCTGGGCTGCAATGAGGGTGGCTCAACCTTTTTTCTGCGAGGTTGGAGGTTGAGATCTAGGTGAAGGCCTTAGGAGTGGAGGAAGGGGCTGAGGCTGAGG